ATAACTTGGCCAAAAAAGAGGTATCGATCTCAAATTTGGTATGTAGATAGAAGGCGGTAAGGACTATCACAAATATTCCGGTTTTTTCGAAATTCAAAAACTTTTTGGATTTTTTGGCTATTATCAAAAAATCTATTTTTTGATTTTGGGGGGTCAAAATCCAAAAATTTCAAAAATCTGAGATAGCAGTTTTGTAGCCCTGTTCATTCTTCAGCTTTTATGTCTGTATCATTTTTCGTTTTGCAAAGCTATAGGCCTGACAGCTCTTCCTGCGAAACCCTTTTTTGGGTCGAAAACGGCAGAACATGACGTCACTCTGACGTCATTTCCGGCCAACCTATCATAGCCTTTGGAAAAATTTTGGTCACAATGTGTAAAATTGATGTCCGGGAGGGTACTGAAAGTTTGGTGACGATCGGCGCAGTGGTTCTGGAGATATATCGAGAAGTCTGGAGGGGGTGCAAAAAATAGCCCTCTCCCCCCCCCCCCCCCACCAGGTCGCGGGTTGCTGAAAGCACAAACTTCTCTATGCTGTATAAGTCTGTGTTGGATGCAATAATATCGTTTGTAAATGTTGATCGCGGCACTCATCCTAATGCAGTTACCAAAGAACGATCTGCAGGCCCAGCCTAACCCAATCAGGTGATATGCGAAACGCTCGAGTCCACCTCGTAACTTTACAGCGAGCAAAGTTAGGTCATTCGATTCGATAACGAGAGACAATTTGCCTCCCTGTGGAGAACTGCGGCCCGTAATTCGAGATGCGCATGCTAAGTGGCATTAGATTTATGCAAACATATTTCGATTAGGCGCTATTATACAGCCAGTAACATGTTTGATATTCCAGTTACGATCAGTGTATCATGAGTGTCCAAATAAATGATCGTTTTTGTCCATTCCTCTAAGGGCACTAAGCAATAGAAAATATTATTTCAAACGCTTACCAATCACTTGTCAATTTTAGAATAAAAATATACAGCACCATGCTAACGAATATGGGTACAGTTGATAAGAATTTAGTCTAAACAGACCAAGTATTTGATATTCCGCTTGAAATCAGCTCTTTCCTCTCATCAATCACTTTTTGCACAAACAGCTTGACCGAACATCCTAAAAATCCTATTAATAATGACAGATTCTTGAAATTTAAACTAAATACACATATCCATGCTTTTTCATGAATTTTCAACAGCAAAAACCTACGACATGCCACACATTGTTGCATGTCATCCTGCAATATTCTATATTTCCTAAATCGAGCTCCTCAATCATCATCACACCGTCCGACCAATCTCGATTATGTACTCACCACATCAATCAGCTGGGAGAGCTTCAGCTTGATCTGCACCTTGAGCGGATCGGTGACGTTCACGACGGGTCGCACCAGCTTGTTGTAGTTAGAGAGCAGGTCGTCATAGAGCCTCTTGGCGTCTGGGTTTCCGGCACAGCCTGCCCGGACCAGGGAGTAGACAGTCAGCACGCGCAATAGTGAGCACACTCGGCTCTCGGGAGGTCGCATCGCACCGCTGCCGTCCGCCCCGGCTGCGACTCGGCGGCGCACTGACCCACACTAGAGCTCCAAGCCCGGCAGCGGCGGCGGCGGCGGCGGCGGCGGTGGCGGCGGCGGCGGCGGTAGCCGGAAAATACAGGCGTGTATGTTATGAATTCGAATCCGGCTCACCCCAGGTGGTTGCCGCAGACATGAGCAAAGAAAAATGGATGATTGGAGAAATACGTGTATGTATGTGTGCAGCTAGAACGGATATTAGCTTGGTCTGCATCAGTGTGATGCTTATTACCACAGGAACATACGAAACTGATGCAAAATCCATACTCCGTGCGTAATTTCAAATTTCATAATTTTCGTAATTTTCGTAATTTTCAAAATGTCATGGAACTCAGATTTGTTTTTCAATAGAAAAACACAATTCTAACGAATAGTGTTTTAACTATTGACAAAAAACCTTCAGTTATTATCTGAGGTATAAATGATAAAGTGCCGTTGATAACTCAACCAATTCAATATTCCTACCACTCTAGTAGCGTATCAGTCAGGGAAAGTCGGCAATATTATGATATGCACTCGCTGTTTTTGTCAATTGTCTTCTTCAAACGCGTACAATTTCTTAACCCTCGCACGTAAACGGTGTTTTGCCACCTTCGCCCATGCAAGGGGGGGTTGGTGCGACCCCCCCTGGCGTTTGAAAACGAAGCGTGGTAGAGCTTAGCGGAAAAGACCATCGGATTGCTCTCAACGAGATCTCGCGATTGGTGGTATATTTTTTGGTCCTAGGTCAACATTTGACCTACTTATGACCGGTCAAAGGTCAAATTTTCGGAAAAATCTAACTTTTTCAGATTTCCGCGCCGATTGCGGCAAAACTGTAAGAGATATCGACTTGAAACCTTCACTATCGTGATCCTTGATCAATTATCTATCGTTTGGTGTGTATTTCGATGTCATAACTCAAATGATGCGTTTTTAAGCATTTTTTATGTCATAGCATGATGTTCTTTTACCCACTTCATCACCATCTTTTATTGAATTGACTCAGCGCCAAGAATAACCTCTTTGACTTCGGTCATAGATAGGGGACGGCCACTACGAAGTAAATAAATAAATAAATAAATAAAGTTAGGAGCATCGGAAGTCTGCAAGGTCATTTGTGCCTTGAGTCACGTCAGGCGTGTGACATCACTGACCTGACCCTGACCCAAAATGAACTACAAGAAACAACTGACGATGCCTGAAATGGATAGCAAATTCAAATTCAGGGCATCAAAATACCCCGAAAAGGCATGCAAGTGCAAGAAGTCATTACAGGTCAACCGAGGTCACTGACCTTACCTTGACCTTTAGTAACCTTCAAAATGTCAACGGACATTTTGCCAATGTCAAATCAGCCAGTTGTGATTATAAAACAATCCATCAGTGTGTCAGGTCAGTCGGCATTTATACCAATGCGAAGCTATCTCCAATTTAGGGTAAATCTGGCCGGAGGTTGTTCCCTTTATGACGTCATAACTCCGTGACCTGACATGACCTTGACAAAAAAATACCAAAAGTTGTGCAAAGGATGCCCCAAAGGGTACTGAAAATTTGAGCAGGCTATCTGGAACGGTTCGGCGTGTAGCTAAGAAAAACCTCAGGGGCGTTGCACCCCCCCCCTACATGGGCGAGGGTTAAGATGAGATATTTGCAGTCGACTGATGTGCTTATGTTAAGTATAAAATCATTTATTTACAGCTTTCAAACCAAACAGCATATAACGGATTCCTAGATAGTAAATAATGTCCTGAGGCCGAGTAACAAAAATATTTTTTTTGGAAGCAGCTTACTCAGACCATGCTTGTTTGTTTTCAATGTTGAATGCAATGTATGCGTACTGCGTAACTTATTGCTTGCATTCGCATAACAATTCATAAAAACTTACCGAGCCACACAACTTTATTCCGACCAAACTTGGTTGAAATGTAAGTTATCTTAATTTGAAAGTCATTGTACAACACCAACTTGTGAAAAACAAATCGGACATGATAATTGCCTAGTCAGAAACAGTCAACTCGTTTTTTACATAACATATATTCGGTAATATATTCCAACGTTTTTATAAGATTACGTTTTTTATGTGCATTTTACATGTAACGAATACATGTAAAAATTATAATAATCGACATCAGGCAGACATAAGAGCTGTTTGAAGCATGGAACTGAAAACTTTTCATCCGCCTGAGAAGATTAGCTCAACAGGCTGGTCCGCGATGATGTGCATCTGCTGAGTCGGGTACACTGTAAAAAAAACTTACAAGCCCCTCGTAGAGGAATTCTCAGCGCAAAAATAACATTGCAGGAGCGTGTAAATTTGGCTAATTTTAGGCTAGTTGCCGAGTAACAAGCTTGTTCGACAAGGCTGTGCCTCGTATGCATACGACCACCGTGCTCCACCTAGTTTGACAACACGCACGTAAATAGCGTGGGTAGTGCGTCTACTAGGTGTCATAATAGCCCCTGCCTGGTAAGGTTACTAGCCACTGCCTACTAATCCATACCCAGTAATTGTACTAGCCCCCAAGGCTAGTAGTGGTACTAGCTCAAGGCCAGTAGTGGCACTAGTTAACTAGTACCACTACTGGCCTTCGGGGTCGAGGCACTGGGTCGACGGAATTCCGTCGACGGAATTCCGTCAACCAGTGCCCCGACTCTCGACCGCCACCCGCAAGTAAACAGACTGAGTAGCGCTGCAGCACATTTATTCGGGCACGAGAACGAGAACGAGAACAATAACAACGCCAGGACAATAACTATAACTTTAACAACAACAACAACAACAACAACAACAACAACAACAACAACAACAACTAACTGAATAATTTGCAATCAGGTTTCTTAAATAACCACCATCAAACATTTGTGATTTTTCATTAGCTCTGCACCGGCGGCAGTCGCGGGGTGAAGGTAGGCCAGGACATATGTACATGGCCCCATTCTTTACCAGAGAAGTCTGTAATAGGCGAAAAAAAACGAATATCAACATTATTATTATCATAAGGCATACCAATCTGGAAAATGATTAAATTAAAGTTGAAGAAAGTGATATATTCCTGCCACAAGCTAGCTTCAGTCCCAAACATATAGCTATTCTGACTTGGATAGACGATAACGGCGCACTTCTGCCAACGACGGGCAACATTATGCAATACTATACGGTTGCATGAGACACGATCGAGCACTTCCACGGGCTTTGACGCAACGGCACTTACAACAGGCGAGTGAGCAAGTTGATCCTGCCATGTCAAGTACATTGTTCACTGTGCAGTCCATCAAATATTTGCCATACTTTGCAGATTCAAGCAAGTTTTTTTTTCTGGGCGAGGCTTACCAACAGAAATATCGCTGGCTTCCGGTATACCTTCATGCCTCAGTCTCCCACAACTTTAAGCAACTCTGCAAACAGAAAAGAAAATTAACTGCTGATTTTAAAATATCAGTGAGGATGGCTTTATTATCTACATCAACTGACTTTTGTATAAGATAAATCAATGTGAGGCAATATGTGTAGCTTACACATTTGGAAAAAAAGGCTAGACAGCAACTGAAAGAAAGTCCGTCTTCCAACAGTCGGAATTCAAACGAAACAGTGGCCCACAACGGTCAAGGGGTGAATTCTATGACGCAACATGTGTTCAGAATATTACAAAATAAATAAAATGTCCCCCATTGCTACGTAAATATCATACAATATAACGTACCTTCGAAATATCCCAGCCCGAGAACTTCACAACGCACCGTGCTCCAACACAACCGCACCAACCGCCGGCAGCCGCAGAACTGAACAATGGCGGCCGGAAATGACGGCCCCGCGCCGGAAGTGAAGGACGCGTTTTAGAAGCAGTCTCAGACTCGTCGCTGGTCACCGTAGCAGGGATTTATGAGGCACTACCGAATCAAAGTCGTTTCGCCCCATTCGGCAACACGAAAACCCTACCAGGACTAGTCCGATGATGAGTTTCCGACTAGGTGGCGTGTGCGCAGGATTATATTTAAAGCACGTGCAGGGCGGTGCCTCATTAGCCGACATAATAATAATATGACACGATAATGAAACACGCATGTAACTAGCATGCAACAAGCTTCTGGCGGATTTAATTATGAGACTATGCGTAGTTTTCCGACACAGCGCGAAATCTGTTGATCAGCAGGAAGGGGTGTTAGGGAAGCATTTAAGTTATTAGGTTACCGTTTGTAACCAATTGTTTCACGAGGCCACTCTTTAACTAACAACCCTCAGGCTGATAATGTCCCTATATATAACAGCAAGGTACAATGGACGACCGTGTAACCCACTCCTTGTCATAGAATTGGCTCGTGACATTTTTTTTTTACACTGTAAAAAAAACTTACAAGCCCCTCGTAGAGGAATTCTCAGCGCAAAAATAACATTGCAGGAGCGTGTAAATTTGGCTAATTTTAGGCTAGTTGCAGAGTAACAAGCTTGTTCGACAAGGCTGTGCCTCGTATGCATACGACCACCGTGCTCCACCTAGTTTGACAACGCGCACGTAAATAGCGTGGGTAGTGCGTCTACTAGGTGTCATAATAGCCCCTGCCTGGTAAGGTAACTAGCCACTGCCTACTATTCCATACCCAGTAATTGTACTAGCCCCCAAGGCTAGTAGTGGTACTAGCTCAAGGCCAGTAGTGACACTAGTTAACTAGTACCACTACTGGCCTTCGGGGTCGGGGGCACTGGTCGACGGAATTCCGTCGACGGAATTCCGTCAACCCAGTGCCCCCGACTCTCGACCGCCACCCGCAAGTAAACAGACTGAGTAGCGCTGCAGCACATTTATTCGGGCACGAGAACGAGAACGAGAACAATAACAACGCCAGGACAATAACTATAACTTTAACAACAACAACAACAACAACAACAACAACAACAACAACA